GAAACAGCAACAGGAATAAATAAATAACAGACCTAAACTTCAAGCACAGAAAAAATAGAATTTAAATTTCAAAGACATGGTCATGATGTGCAAGAATATAACTTTGATACTAATAGCAGTTACTTTAAGTAAATCCAATTAAAAGAAAACCAATAAAAAAAATAGAAGATCCACATCTAAAGGACTCAAAACTTTCTACTAATGTTTTTGATCATGTCTCCACCACAGGAAAAAGAAAAAAAATCTTTAAATAGGCCTTATATAAAGTATGGGTATCAACTGATAATCAGGACCTCCCATTTAAAATTAGGCTAAAATATACCCTCTCCAAACCACAACCTCTCATCCCTCTCTTAAACCCCATTAAAACAAAACACCGAAACTAAAACAAACCCTTTTCTCCCTTTAACCTCAACTGCCTTAACCAACCCAACACCACCATTTTAAGTTTTCAGTTTAAACCCATCTCTACCTCTTTCTCTTTCACACCCCCAACCAATACAAAACAAAAACAAACCCAGATTTCATACACCCTCCAAAAGGCACTGCTTTATACATATCTCCTTATTCGAGATTTTATTTTTTAATCTGCATTCCATTTATAGTTATTACATTGTATAAAAATCCACTCAAATCTCTCAAACTCGTGCAATAAATAATCAATATATTTAAGGGAAGTTAAAGCAAAAGTTGACTATTTAGAAATGTTTATAAATTATTAGCTTTGCAATACCCATTAATTATGGTATTCCGTCAGACGCAAACCCCTCTTCTTAATCTCATAAAAAACCAATAAGGCATCCTTAACTTTACCTTCTTTACACAATCTATGCATCAGAACATTGAAAATGTACACACTTCTCTCTCATAAATTATGACAAAGAATTGCAACATATCCCTATTTATTGTTTACAAGTGACCTGCATATCTATATACTACATTTTTGTTGGAGACAGGAATACTGGAATAGGTATCAGAGAAAATGTTAGATTGTAACTTACCTTCTTCAATAAAAAAAGAACATGTGCTGGGGACTAGAGTCCTGGAGAGTGGAGACTGGAGATGGCAGCGGTGGTTGACGAGTTTGAGAGGAGAGGACGAGAGGAAGAGAGACGAGTTTGAGAAGAAGATGTTAATGTTACACCTTTGGACAATGAAGAAGGCAACAGCGACTGGAGTTTGGAATCTTGGAGACAATGGAGAGTGGAACTAGAGAGGGCAGCGACGAGCCAACGAGGTAAAGATCGGCGAGTTTGAGAGGAGGAGAGGAGGTATACGTCGTCTTCTTGTTAGGGATTTCAGATTTAGATTTGGGTATTTAGGATTTTAAATAATAAAAGATTTTTAAAGATTAAAATTTAAAATAATATTATTATATTAAATTTATAAGAAAACCGGTTTATTAAACCGGTTTCGGCTAACCGATTTAAAAAATGATATAAACCGTTAACCAAACCGGAAAACCGGTTTATTCACTTTTTAAAACTGAAACCGAAACCGAAACCGAAACCGGTTAACCGGTTTTTCGGTTCGGTTTCCGATTTTTTTTTTGCAGCCCTACTCAACTCTTCTCATAACTCCATTATATTCAACAATAAGTATAAATAACCATCCATCTCATCACAATTTCTAAATAAACATAATACATACACATACATACATAAATTTCTACTCAAAAGAGTTCTTAAATCTCAACTTGGGTTGAATTTACTTACCTTGTGGGTAAATAACTTCTCTAGCACTTTTCCTTCCCCTTGTTGTCTTGTCTTGTCTCTACAACTTTAAACAACAATAACAACATAAGACTTCAACAAATCATAAACTAATTCTCATCTAAAGCAAGAATCCTTACCTTAGGATGCTTTAGATGAAATCTCTACTAACAACTACCCAAAAGCTCCCTAAAATTCCTTAGAAATCTTGGAAGATTGAATGAAGGATGGGAAGAAAATAGACAGTGAGAATGGCGGTGGAAATGGGTGAAATGAGGGTTTACTACACTTAATCTCTTGTTTAGCTCATATTGTAACCATTCTTTCCCATTTTGCCCTTGCTCTTCCTTAAAAATTTCATCTTTGTCCTTTGATTCATTACAAACACACCCCCAACTCCAACACATTCTCTACTAAATTTTCTTACATTTTACTCCCCACTTTTATTGCTAATTAGGGGTAGAATAGTCATTTTACCCCTATAGAGAATTCTCTAGAACTCTCAAGAAACTTTTTTGCCGTCCCGTTGCCACGACGAAGCAATTTTCGTCGCCCCGGCAAAAAATTACAGAACTGACATCGCAACATAGAGCTGACGTGACCGCGACGAAGACTATTCTTCGCCCCGGCGAATACTGTAATACCAAGATTCCTCAAATCTCAACCAATTTCAAGGCAAACATTCAACCAACTCAAAAATAACAACATACAAACTCAATTGAAGCCGGACCAATGAACATTTAAGTAATACAACAAATCTTAACTACGTACCTCAAGTGGAGGCGCTACAGCATATCCGCGAGAGCAATGGTTTCTATCAATGGTGACTCGGCACAGCTTTGGGGTTGACTCTTTTTTAGGGGTGTTGGCACACCTTGGATGCGCTGGATCATTGCTTCCATTTTGGCTAACCGCTTGGTTAGGGTTTGTTCAAGGGGTGTGGTTACAGGTGCATATCGGTTGTTTAGGAATTGGGGAAACACTCTGAGATTAACATGTATCGTCGAGCCGTGTGGGAAGCCTTGCTGGGTTAAGTCAATCTCTGGGTTCATGGGATGTGTTTGGTGGGTAAAGCTGGTATTGCTGAGGTGGGGTAAAGTGGCTTGTGTAAGTGTCTTGGAAGCCGAGTGGGTGATGGGTGGAATGGTGACTGGTCAGTTCTGCTCAACCATTGATGTGGCTGTTGTTAGGGTTGTGGTATGATGGTCGATGGTAACTCCATTATCCAGGGTCAAGAAGAGCTATCTGGGTTGAATGAGATGCCGAGAGGAAGATGCATGATGTTGGTTAAGAGACCAATCTAAAGAATAAAACTGGGTTACTTTATCTTGGAGTGCTTGGTTCTCCGCGCGAATAGCAGCATTCTGAGCCTCTAGAGCCTGATATTCGTTATTGCTTTCTTTCACTAGCGCGGTGAGAGCTGCAATTTGTGCTGCGACATCGGACACCGGAGTCTCTGTGTTGTTAGTCATGATAACCGATAGGGAGGAGGAGCAGCTTCAACATATCTTTTTGAATCGAAAAATTGCCAAAGCCCCATGGTGGGCGCCAAATTGTAAACGATACAATTTACAATTAAACTCGAAAAGACGGAATCTTGTGATGTGAGCCACTGACAATCTTGATGGACCTGCTAAGGGTGCCTTGATGATTGAAAGGGAGATTTAGTGATGTAAGGGGGTCGTCAGAGTTAGTAGAAAGCTTGGAAGTAAGAATACTAAAGCTTAGGGGTGATTTCTGAATGTCTAACGAGAGGGTTAGCCCCTGTTTATATAGTGAACCCAAGGGGTCCGAGTCCTTATAGGATTCTGAATCCTACTTAGTAGGTGTGTTTTCCGTTTAGAAGGAGATGAGATATTCTGCCTTTATGGGCTCAGACTTTCCTTTTTGGGTGAGATTTGAGATCTTGTTAGAAGAGAAATTTGACTAGGATTTTGATCATTGTTGTGGATTGTTGTGAGCGAATGGGTCGGACCCAATTTAGCTTAACTGGGGGGATGACCTAACTCATAGAGCAGACATTTTCCAAGGTATTCTAAGCGTGAGCTCAATTGAGATTGGGCCAAGACCCTGAGTCGTCACATATTTATGATGTTATTAGACCTCGTTAGGTCTAATACAATTTTTGGTCCATACAATTAATAATTAGCTACAATGTTTTCAAAATTAACTATAGAAATAACATAAGTTACAAATCTTTAAAAAATAAGCCCTAGTCAACTGGTTGTTAGTGTTAAATTTACTTGTGTAAAGTAAGAGACTGATATTTTATAGAATTAGATTATTTTTCTTTTAAAATAACAAATAAGAAATTACTAAAATATCGAGATAACCCAACAACATTACCAAAAAAANACGTGGTTAAAAGCCACGCGCTCTACCCTTGAGCTAAGACGGTAGTGGAATTTGAAAATTGTTTCTATAAAATGTAAATTAAAAAATTATATTTGCGTGCCCCTAAATGAACATAAATAATAGCCTCTAAGAGTTTGGAATGTATTAGAAAACCCCTAGATGTGACTCTGTGATTAGGGGTTTTCAAAAGAACCGATTAGAACCGGAACCAACGGGTACCCAAGGTTTGGTTCCGATTCCTACCCAGAACCAATCTTCAACGAGTAGGTTCCAGTTCCAAATTTTTGGAACCATTACTATGCAGTTCTGGTTCCGGTTCCTATAGTTAGGAACTAGGAACAGAGACTAATATAAAATAAAATTAAAGATTAGGAAGCTTAATAAAAACTTTTGTAGAAAAAGTAATGTGAATACATTTATATCTATATTTCATAACATTTAAAGTAAGTTGGTTTGATTTTTGAGAATCTACCTTTACAAAGTAATGGAGTTTGTAATTTTGAATTTATAATTTGTAATTTTATTTTTGTTAACAAGTGCCAGGTGGGGGGGCATTTGTAAGCTTTTAAGGGTTTTTTTGCTATTTTAAAAACTTTTGGGGGGTCATTAATTTTACAGGATACTCAGAACCAGAACCAGAACCAGAACCGTTGTTATAGGTTTTGGTTCTGAGTACCTAGGAACCGGAACCGTCGGTTCTGATTTTGGTTCCAAATTTCAAAGAACCGTTGGTTCCGGTTCTGATTCTTTTAAAAAGTACAGAGTACCCAGAACCGAATACCCCAATCTGTGATTGTGAGTCACCTGTTGACTGTTAAGGAGGTTTTTTATACTTTCCAGAAAACGTGGTGGTGTTTTAATTTAATCATCTCTCACAGGTGCTCTATAACAACCCTTAATTAAAAGGAAAAAAATATTTCTTCTCAAAAACCAGACTACACTAGTACGGTTCAGTCTCTTCCCCTCTTCACTATTTACATCTCCATCACAGATGATTCCGCCATCGCCGTCGCTCTCCGCCACCATCCTCCCGCACCGCCTCCACCACCTCCGCACCTTCATCGATGCACGAGTAAAATGGGCGCGTGACCCATTCCTCGATACCGCAGTCTCCAAAGAAAAAAACCTCAAGCAACTCATTTCTCTCAAAAACCAAATCCTCTCTTCATCTCTCCCTCTCTCCACTCTCTCATCTTCCCCCGTCAAATTCTTCCAAAAATACCCCTCTTTTTTTCGAATATTCCAACCCTGCCCCTCTCTCCCTCTCCACATCAAGCTTACCTCTCAAGCTCTGACTCTCCACAAAGAAGAGTCGGCCATTCACAGCTCGCCTTGTCACCGTAATGACGCCGTTAAACGGTTGGCGAAGGTGCTGATGCTGGCTAATGCTAGGAGGCTTCCGTTGCATGTTGTTGACAAGTTCAAATATGACCTCGGTCTTCCTCATAATTACGTTACTGCACTTCTTGCTGATTATCCAGAGTATTTTCAGGTTTTTCAGTGAATAATTCATTAATATTAATTATTTATAACTGACTATGTCTTAATAAATAATTAAATAGTGATTATAGGTTATAATTTTATCGTTATTATCATATCTTGCCGGAAAACAGAGTTGAAAGTTTTTAAAATAAATAAATTCCAGGTTCATATTTATTATGAAATGAAGTATTTTAGGTAATTTAGTTTATATGTTTGTTAAAAAATTTCAGATTTTAGATGTATTTCTCTGAACATAGTGGCGATGTGAAAAGACAAACAATAAAAAATCTAATTCGCCTAGCTATGTTTAAGATAATAGTGTCAAAAACAAATATACCTCCAGTTTAGGTTGGTTATTATTGATATGATGTTGCTTGTTGATATGTTATCGATTACTAAAACTTGTTTATTTATATATTTACGAGTTTTAATTGTGTTTTCTTGGTAAATTGGCTAGCTTATAGGATGAAAAAATCTAGTTGGAAAGTTCGTGGGCAAGGTGATGCAGTTGTTTTGTGTATGTTATGAATTATTCTTGGTTATTAAGTTGATTTTGGTAATTATAGATATGATGTTGCGTGTTATTGATATGATGTTATGGTTTACTAAAACTGGTATACTCATATAATTGGGATCAGAGTTTTATTAGCGTTTCCAACAGACCATGGACTACTTAGCAGTTTGTAAGTTTGCTTGGTGACTAGCTAGTAGGATAGCATTATCTAACTAAAGGTTTAAGAAAGGCTGTGCACGGTTATATACATGGGAGGTGAGATATTTCCATGCTCTCACACTTCTTCTCTAAGTTTGTTACTATTTTGTACTTATATATGTGGAACTTTATTGCCTTGAAAATAATGTACAATACAAGTGCATTGTCCTGATATTTATAGGGCTCAATAGTGATCAGTTTTGCCTGAGGTTTACGCTTAAACTTTGCCATTAAATGAAGCCATCTTGTGTAGTTAGTTGCCAAGTAGTCCATTAGTTGGTCCAATGGAACCCCACTTCATAATAAAACTACATATTGGTAATGGGCAATGTCATATTTGTAATATAGCATCAAATTAGTAATCAAAAGAATATGTCGCTTTAGTAGCGCACAACTGGTGACTAATGAGTATTCTTGTTTTCTGAAAACAACATATGATTGGTGAATATTACTATTTTTTCACTTTGACTGGCCTAGTAATAATGATGGATTTGCTCCATAGGGCTTCCTCCACTTTAGATTAAAGTCTCAGAACTGTCACACCTAATTCTTTCTATTACTTAATTTTATTACCCAAAGAAGGCTGCTGAAATTTTGAGTCTCTGACAGAGTTTCTTCTTTTTTGGGTTTTTCTGATTTTATATAAGTTTTGTTGTGGAGACAAAAATGTTGTTAGCAATGTTTATGATAGGAACCCACTTCAATAACTCAACAATTTGGGCTGGGCCATGGGTCTTTCATGGGCTTAGGTAGAACTCTCTTTAAAAAACCGGCTTGCCAAGGGAGGGTGCCCAAACCTTTATAACCCACATGCCCACCTTTTTCCCTTTCAATGTGGGATCCTAACATTCCACCATGCTTTCGCAACCGATGTCCACGTCGGTCTCTTTACCCCCGTCGGCCTCTTTACCCCTTGGGTTACTACGCGGATCCTCTTTCTCTCGGGCCTCCATGCCCTTTCTCGGGGTAGCAGCCCGGGCCCAAGGTCAGCCTGCCACGGGTCAGCTTGCCACGCGTGCGTTGCCACATAGGCGCAGGATCATGCTCTGATACCAGTTGATAAACCCCAGGATTAACAAGCAACAAGCAACCACAAAATCAGATAATGCACCAGTTCTCCAGTGTTTTCACAAGACAGATTTGGATAGATAGAATTGGATTGATATTAAGAACTGAAATTGGTAAAACAAAGCAATTTTCCAGGACTGAAATGAAAGAAAAATAACAGTAGATAAATCCCAGCAGTTCGAGGAGCTGGGGACCTCCCTGATTCACAATTTACAATTTCTGCCTTTTTACCCAAAAGGCTCCCCCGTTTATACATGAATCAGCTAACAACTTTTATTCCCTTCTAACTAATTGGTTCACACGTCACCTGCCTCCAGCTTCTCTCCACCTAAGCATGTTTCTTCAATTCTATTCTGTTGGCCTCTCTCCACTAACGCATGCTTCTCCAATTCCAACCAATTATGTTAGTGGCTTTTTACCCTTTTGCCCTCTGTGCTGGTAAACCTTCTTGATAGGTGGTCTATCAATATCCCCCCTTGAACAACCACCTTGTCCTCAAGGTGAAAGTGAGGAAATTGAAGAGTGATGGTGTTGGCCAACTCCCAGGTTGCTTCAAATGGGGCTAAATCCTTCCACTTAATAAGGACTTCTTGAGAGCCATTCACTAGTGTGTGGACTGCCAAGATAGACTCCGGTTGAACCTGCAGCTCCATGTCCTCCATGTCCTCTGTTGGCCATTCACTAGTGTGCAGACTGCTCTTGAGCTGAGATATGTGAAAAACGGGATGAATTTTGGCTGTTGAAGGCAACTTTAGCTTATATGCAACCTGTCCAATTTTTTCCAAAACGGGAAATGATCCATAAAAACGCGGACTCAACTTTTCATTGAGTTTAGAAGCCAGGCACCTGAAGCGGTAAGGCTGAAGCTTCAAAAACACTTGGTCTCCAGGCTGAAAGTTAACATCCCGGCGATGGGCATCTGCCTGTGATTTCATATGGCTCTAGGGACCAAGTGTTTTTGAAGCTTCAGCTTTACCGCTTCAGGTCCCTGGCTTCTAAACTCAATGAAAAGTTGAGTCCGCGTTTTTATGGACCATTTCCCGTTTTGGAAAAAATTGGACAGGTTGCATATAAGCTGGAGTTGCCTTCAATAGCCAAAATTCAATTTGGGAACCCATGCAGTCGAACAACCTCCGAAATAAACAGATCAGCCACGTCCTTGGCCATATATGGGTGACATAATGGAAGGAAATGACCATACTTAGTTAATCGATCCACCATGACCAATATCGTGTCGTATCCTTTCGCTTTGGGCAACCCCCCGATAAAATCCATACTAATGTTGTCGAATACCTGGGTGGGAATGGGTAAAGGTTGGAGCAGACCAGCAGGCTTAAGGGCTGAATGTTTGTTCAATTGACAGGTGGAACACTATTGGACAAAAGTCTGAACATCTCTTTTAATACCTTCCCAAAAAACCAGGTTCGTCACTCGTTTGTAGGTTCTAAAAAATCCAGAATGGCCCCCGATAGGACGGTTGTGGAATTCCTCCAACAAACGCGGAATATAGTTAGAAGATTTGGGAATTACCAACCTGTTTTTGTAGAGCAGACAACCGCGGCGTAGACTGGAATTCGGGTGACTCTAGGGATCGAAAAGCAAATCTTGGATGATAGTTCGAAGCTTCTTATCTTGCTGTGCTTCAGCCGCAAGATCATCGAATTCTGAGAAGGTAGCTACCGAGACAGTAGTGAATTCCATGTCTTCTCTGCGGGAGAGGGCATCAGCCACGTGGTTTGAACTACCTGGTTGATACACGATCTCAAATGAGTAACCTAGAAGTTTAGAAATCCATTTTTGCTGCTCAGGTGTTTTCACCCTCTGATCTGTTAGGAACTGCAGACTGCGCTGGTCCGTTTTGATAGTAAACTTTTGTCCGCTGAGGTAGTGACTCCATTTTTGAACCGCAAACACTATGGCCATTAACTCTCTTTCATATACTGATTTTTGCTTGGACTGATGGGAAAATGCTTTACTGATGAATGCGATGGGACGCTAGTTCTGAATTAAGACAGCTCCCAATCCTTGGCCCGATGCGTCCGTGTGGACTTCAAAAGGAAGACTGAAATCAGGAACAACCAGCACAGGCACGGATGACATGGCTTTTTTCAGGTTATCAAAGGCTTGTTGGGCTTGTTCATTCCATCCGAAGGCGTCTTTTTGAAGTAGTTTAGTCAATGGCTGACTATTGACCCATAATCTTTCACGAATCTACGGTAATATCCTGTTAATCCCAAGAATCCCCGCAACCCTTTGATAGTTTGTGGAACAAGCCAAGATAGCATGGATTCAACTTTGGTTGTGTCTGCCTCCAACCCATCCGCAGAGATCAAATGTCCCAAATATTCCAACTTCAATTGACCAAATATACATTTTTTCCGGTTGACAATCAGCTCGTTGTCGGTCAAGATTTGGAAGGTGTATCGTAAGTGAGTGAGGTGGGCTTCTAGGTTGGGGCTGTAGACTAGGATGTCGTCAAAAAATACCAGTACAAACTTCCTTAAAACTGGTCTGAAAATGTTGTTCATTGGAGCCTGGAAAGTATAGGGGGCGTTAGTCAGTCCAAACGGCATGACCAGGAATTCGTAATGCCCCTCGTGAGTTCGGAAAGCTGTTTTCAGCACATCCTTGGGCCTAACTCTGATCTGATGATATCCGGATTTCAAATCCAACTTAGAAAAAACTGTCGCTCCAGCCAACTCATCTAGCAACTCATCAATTGAAGGTATGGGAAATTTGTCGGGTATGGTTATGTTGTTAAGGGCACGGTAGTCAACAGAAAAACGCCAGCTTCCATTTTTCTTTTTAACCAACAGCACCGGGCTTGCAAAAGGGCTAACACTTGGTTTGATTATTCCGGACATTAGCATTTCACCCACCAACCTTTCGATCTCATTTTTTTTAGTGTAGGAATATTTGTAGGGGCGTAGGTTAGGGGGTTTGGAGGATTGTTGGAGGGTTATGGCATGGTCAGTTGGTCTCCTTGGTGGTAGACAAGAGTGTTGGTCAAACAGTTGGTGGAATTCATTAAGTAATGCAGCCACTTCCGGCTCCATGGGTTCACTCTACTCTTCGACTTTCCTCTCAATAGAACAAAACTCAACTACATACCCTGCACCCTCACTCTGTAGTGTCTTGAGCATGGCTTTTAGAGATACTACAGTCTTAACTAACGAAGGGTCACCTTGCAACACAGTTCTCTTCCCGTTACTATCGAATGCCATGGTTAAATTTTTCCAATTAGAGCACACATCTCCCAACGTGCTCAACCAAGATATCCCTAACACCACATCAGCTCCACCTAAATCAAATGGAAAAAAATCTTGTGTTAACTCCACCTCCTGGATCTTCATACTCACATTTTTGCAGATTTCTTCTCCCCTGACGGTAAATCCATTGCCTACCATTACTCCGAATTGTTTCCCCTTTTTCCAATTTCAAGCCTAGCTTCCTTACCAACTCCTTTGAGATGAAATTGTGGGATGCCGCACTATCAACCAACACAATCACTGTCTCATCTCCAATCATTCCCCGGATCTTCAAAGTCTTATCCATAGTCATACCCACAATTGAGTTCATTGACAAAGCCAAGGGATCACCTGTTGGGTTGGCGTCATCGTCGTTGTCTGGGCTGGGTTCTTCTATTTCCGGCGAGTCTTCATCGGTCACTAAGAGAATCTGTAGCGATCTCGCCTTACAACGGTGGGTGGGGCTGTATTTTTCGTCACATTTGAAACACAGTCCCCTCTCCCTCTTGCTCTGAATCTCAACGTCAGTAAGTCGTCAGAACCCTTCTCCTCGAGTTCCTTGCATGGGTGCAAAAGCTGGCCTCTGTTGTTCATTTGCTTTGCTTGGAACCAGATCTGTCCCTTTGCTTGAAACCAGATCTGAAACGCGTGAAAAATTATTTGGGAACCACTCATTTGTGCGCCAGATTTCTAGGTTGGGTGTGACCCGCTGGTATGGCTCCATTTTAGGTAGTTGGGTCTTAAATGGCTTGAGCCTTTGTTTATCCAAAACCCAATTTTTCTTCTCAACTCTGTGGGCCTGCTCAATAAGTGCAAAGAGTGTATTTGGTTGGCCCAAACGCAGTTCAGCCCGAATTTCTTCTTTGAGTCCATTTAAAAAAATTCCCATTAGCAAATCTTCTCCTACCTCACGCAAAGGAGCTGAATGTTCTTCAAAGTTTTCTTTGAATTCTGTTACTGTTCCAGTTTGTTTTAAGGCCACTAGTGCCTCATATGCTGATCCTTTGAAAGATGGGTGAAATCTCGCAATCACGGCAGTTTTAAAAGCTTCCCATGAACTAATGGGTGCCCTTGATTCGACCCACTGATACCAATTCAGTGCCCTTCCCTCCATGCAAACCGCAACTGCCTCTACCTTTTCTCCCTCTGTGTAACGATTGACTGAGAAATAGCGATCCGCTCTGAAGGTCCATCCGGAGGGATCTTCTCCATTAAACATTGGTAATTCTAATTTTTTTTCCTTTCCTTTCCTCCCTAAGGCTCTCAGTTTCCTTACTATGACCCATTCCACCATTGTCGTTACTTTTGGAGTTTTCCCCCCGATTTGACTTGCCCCGATCTCTACTATTTTGTGTTTCCTTCTCCTCTTTCAGTCTCATCCATTCCCTCATTTTCAGGAGATACCCTTTGATACTACCTAACTCTTCCTTCATCCCTCCTAACTCTTTCTCCATATTACCCATTTCTTTTTCTAATCCCTCAACCTTTTGCTCCATTCTCGATTTAGGCATTACCAGACTCTGATACCAGTTGATAGGAACCCACTCCAATAACTCAACAATTTGGGTTGGGCCATGGGTCTTTCATGGGCTTGGGTAGAACTCTCCTTGAAAAACCGGCTTGCCAAGGGAGGGTGCTCAAACCTTTATAACTCACATGCCCACCCTTTTCCCTTTCAATGTGGGATCCTAACGGTTTATAACAAGTTTGGTAAATTGTAGAATACCCAAAAAGTAAATGAACTTCAGCAACTTTCTTTGAGTAATAAATTTAGGTCATAAAAAATTGTATAATGAATAAAAGGCTATTACAAGAAGTTTATTATTACTTTCTTGGTGATTATTTTCAGGTATGTGAAATCAAAGATCATGTAACTAACAAAGAAACTCTGGCATTGGAGTTAGTTTCTTGGAGGAAAGAACTTGCAGTATCAGAAATGGAAAGAAAAGTGTGCAATGGTGATATTTCAAATCTAAGAAGAGGAAGGTGCATAGAGTTTCCTATGAATTTCCCTAGAGGGGTTGACTTAGAAAAAAAGGTTAAGAATTGGGTTGAAAAATGGCAACAGCTGCCTTATGTTTCACCTTACGAAGATGCATTCCATTTGGCACCGAGAAGTGACCTGGCAGAGAAATGGGCTGTAGCAGTGCTTCATGAGTTGTTATGGCTTTTGGTGTCAAAGAAGACGGAGAGAGATAATGTGTTTTGCTTGGGAGATTATTTAGGGTTTGGTGATAGGTTTAAGAAGGTTTCGGTGCATCATCCAGGGATCTTTTATGTGTCTAATAAGATTAGGACTCAAACTGTGGTGCTTAGGGAGGCTTATAGGAAGGATTTTTTGGTGCAGAAGCATGCATTGATGGGGATGCGGTATAGGTATGTTCATCTCATGAATAAATCAAAGGATAGAAGGAAACCTGTTTGTGCCCTAGCTTTTGGTTCAACAAGAAAAAGAAAGGTTAATTTATCTACTGTAAAAGAGAAAACGACAAAAGAGGACGATAATTGTGGTTCGGAAGAAGAAAAGGACTCCAATGGATCTTCTGAATCAGAGTTTGAAGATGTTGATAGTCAAGAACAGTGAAGATGGAGATATGATAAGTAGAGAAGAAAACTTAGAGAAGTAGCTTGAGTTGAGAACCTGAGATGTTTGCTTTAGAAAGCTCAAAAAGAGGTTAGCTTGACAAAATTTATGCAACTTATCAAAGAAATTAAGGACCACAAGAGATGTTAATCTCATGGCTCATGAGACTATGTTAATTGAGCATCAAACTTAGAAAGCATTAGCCCAAAATGAGGTGGGTCCAATCAACAAAGGAAGCTCGGCTCAGCAATTGTTTATTGGACAGAGGATGATGATATATTTCCTGGACATTCATGGGAAATAGAACAAAAATGGATGACAACATTTATTGGAGGTGGGAGGATCAGTTTGTCAAGCAATGTAAAATTTGAGGGTGGATTCAAGATTATGTGCAGTAGCTTCTGTTGTGCAAGGATATGGGTACGTGCTGACATTATTTGCGACTATGGATGGTGGTTTTCTTGCTCTCTATGCATATAATCTCTATAATCTGTCAACAAAATATAAATTGAAAAATCATTTTGCAATTCTTTTTCTGTATGTATATATTGTCATTTCTAGTTTGTGTACCTGCTGACATTATTTGCCACTATGGATGGTGATTTTCTTGTTCTCTATAAATATAATCTATGTAATCTGTCAAAAAAATATGAATTGAAAATTTATTTTGCAATTCCTTTTTCTGTATATATATATTATCATTTATAGTTTTGTGATGTGATCAGCTGATCATGTCTATAGTTTACAAATTGGCCTTGACCTTGAAGTATTGTTTCTAAATATTTTGTGATGATGCTCTTAAGTATCTTATATACTAAAAGTTTAAGAAATTGTGATGTCTGCTATGGTAGATCCACTGCACTTCATGTACTCATACCCCCACAATGAAACAATGTGGCCGTCATAAAAATAAACATATATTGGCTGCTACTGAAATTCTGCATTCAATATGAATTCGCTGTCCAAGGAGTTATATTGTTTCTAGACTTCATCCTATTAATTTATCTCACTGTTTGAGCCTTCATCGTATAATTTCCTTTTCATTTTAATTCAAATAATTGGTCTTCTTTGGTAAATCCCTGACACTGTCAGGTTGGTGTATCAAGGAGATAATAAACTATTGCTTCAATGGGTCATGAATTTTGAAGCCTCAAAACCATGAAGGGTTGGTGATTCGATTTGCTATTACTGTTACTTGCGCAAGTGTAAACTGTAAAGTGCATTCCCTAAGAATATTTGTGGCATTTCCTGGTTGTACAGGATCTGATATCTGGCTGAGCTTTTGATCCAACTTTGGTTCTTTTATTTGCAGAAAAGACTAGGAAGAAAATTACTTTCTTCAGTTTGCTTCTTTAGCATTTGAACTTCAGCAGCTGGTTCAGAAAATTGTATGCCTTCTTACTCTAAAGTTCTCTTATTATATTTCATTTATATCTTCTCTTTTGGCCTGAGATTTAGTATTACACTGTTAGAAGTTGTAGACCATCTAATTTAGTTTCAATATTCCACGTTGGCAACATCTAATTTAGTTTCAATATTCCACGTTGGCAACAATCTTAATCATCAGTCTTTATTTAGCTAGTGGACATAAATAAGTTTCAAAATTTGTGGCAATAAAGAGTGGCCGCTGAACGTATCCCATTCAGTAATATGATTTGACAAAATTTTTGATAAATCTTTTTCTGGATTAAGAAATTGTGTTCTGTTTGTTCTTGATTAATTATCCAAATGTTTACTTGCATATTCTTAATGTGCCAAGCAGTGTGTTTGTAGCTCTGATTTAAATAGTATAGAAGTAGATCAGATTATATATAGTATTGTCTTGTGTTTGTATAATGCCTAATTGGATAGAACTAAAAATCATTAAAAAAGAGAGGAGAAAACTCAATCTTTATTAATATTCAAATTGATTTCATTTACCAAATAAACTTATAGTAGTTTGCTATGAGACAACTCATAGATCACTTGGCAGCATATAAATCAACTATTAGACTTACAAGTTGTTTTAACATACGTCCTAAAGATACACATGACGATCATTAATGAACAAAAAAATTGATGATTTCAATGCACTATATTTAAAAAAGATTAAAAAAAGCCACATTTTTTAATGCATCGAAATGATCAATTTTTTGTGTGTTAGTGATCTTAACGTATGTCTTTAGGGCACATACTAACTCAACTCTATATTCATCGTGTTTTCAGCTGTCCTCATGACCAAGTGGTAAAAAAAGAAAAACAATGAAATAGTATATGAAGTAGCTTTAATGATATTAACTGTTTTTCACAACTAAAATTCTCTCTTAATATAAGGGAGGGCCTTATTTATATTTGTTGAGTTGTATAGAATCATATTAGGATTAGGATGTTGAGTTGTACAAAATCATATTAGGATTAGGATCAAGATCACATTAGGGACAAGGATAAGATTTATTAGGAATAGGTTAATTCATTTCCATATTTCATGGATTACTAGATTTATATATTGTTGTACATTGTTCACAATGAATATTAAGAATTATCTCTTCTGATTTCACAATATTGTTTTGGCCGCCCTTGACCAAGTAAAGTTGCCGTTTAATTTCAACATGATTAGGGTGTTGTCAAATAGTTTGTCAGTTGTCTTGATGGTAAAAATAAATTTATTTTGAAGCATGAGGCATGGATCCTCTGGGTATCCTAGCCCCATTTATTTGGTTTTTTATTTATTATTAAGGATTGGGGCGGGTCATAGTCCACATCAAATTTTTTTTTTCCCTACCCTAAGAGATCGAATTCGGGTGCTAGATAAAGAAATGGGTTGGTAAACCACTAAGCTAAGTGCACGGGGGTTTACCAGTCCCAAGTTCGATCCCTGGGGGTACGATAGGGTAACCAAAATTTCAGATTTATTTGGGATTAAATGAAGAGGATGAAACTAAATATATTCTTATTTTATACTTTTGTAAACATGCCTAACAAGAGGTTTGGACATTTAAAATTGGATTAATTTTGAAAGATAATTCTGGTCTCATGTTTGGGTTGTTTATAGGGACAAGATGATATTTGGAATCAATCTCCTCATTTAGTATGTACCAGATGAATAAGTTTAGGAAATCATTGGGAAAACATTGGCCTTCTTATCCCATGTTTGGATAAATTTATTTATATGTTTACATTATAATTTAATGACATCATATTTATTTAAAAGAGTTGTCTTAACGTGTGTCCTCATACGTTAAAACCACTTGTGGACAAAAAAATTGATATATCAATTATTTGAAAAATTTTGAATTTTGTATTTGTTGTAAATAAAGTGCATCGAAAAAATCAAATTTTTTGTCCGTTATTGGTCTTAATTTGTGCTCTAAGGGATATGTAAAAACAATTCATTTACTAGTAAGTTAAAATATTTTAATAAATATCTTGAAGTTATATTTTAAACATTTGATTAGATTATACTTAAATAGATTATATTATCTCATAGTAGGATTTTTATGTATTCTTTGTTCTTTTTAGTTGGGATAAGACTCAACTAGTAATCTCAGCCCCCAAATTAATAAAAAATTCATGGCTCATTACTCTTTATCGGGCTAAGGACTTGATTTTACTTATATTTATGTTGTATTCTAACTTGCTGAATAGTTAATGTTCTAATTGGTTGCATATTGTTATAAATTTTTTAATTTGGTTTATAAATGAAATATTCACAACTACTTAAAAATTTAAAGGTAAATATTAAGTTAGTTTCATTTAATTTATTAGTAAAATTTGAGGGGTTTTTTTTTTTTTTTTTTTTCTTCTTCTTTTACGATAGAATATAGATTGTATTGTCTAGTCCAGTCGAGTACAACACCAAATAGAGACAGTATTATAAATACCCTGTTCCTATTAAAAGGTAGTTCAATCTTACCTCAGAAATGTAGCCTTAATAGTTCGGTACCCTTGAAGAGGCCCAACATGGTCTCAAGTCATGTATAATCTTTTGGTGGAAAGAAATTTTCTTTCAAATGTTCTTGCTCTCAACTTTTTCTTTGGGAAGAAATGAAAAAGAAAAGTAACCGATGCCATTTGTGTATAATTCAATATTGTGACATGCCGTGTGATCCTATATTTTCTCCTGTGATTTATTATTTTTTCTTTTTTGCATCATAAAACTCATTGGTGGAGTGGCATACTTAAAGTTTGAATATATTATTGGTCATTAGCTTGCAGAGGAAATTACTAAAGTATTTGGCTAGTAATGTTACCAGCCCCTGACAAGTTTTAGATGGGCATACTTTATTATGTTTTTTATGTGAATCCAATGGTTGTCAAAGGCTAGTAACATTATCGATCTGGTAGTTTAGTGAAGATCAAATGAATATTTCCAATACTTTAGTAAGATTAAAATGGATATTTTAAAATGAATAGCAACTTGCCCACCCAACTCATTTTATTAACGATCCATTCAATTAAATAACAACTTGTGACATGCTATATTTAAGTATGAAGTTTTATGATGCTAGTTATATAAGTCAATCATTTGATATTATTGGTCTATCATTGTTGTGATATCTATACCAAAATAAATGTGTTACATATTGCCGCTTGATGCTTATATACAATGCTTGGAGATAATATCATTTAATTTCTGCATCAATATCTGCAGGCTGAAATTAAGGATACTTGAGTCTAAAAGGTTGAATAGCCTGGATCTAGGGTTCACTTGATATTTGAATCTATAAGAAGAATGCCAGACATACAATATTTTGTATACAAACTGGTGCGACAATACTGCATGCTTGTTGCATATTTTTGTGTGATTTGTTTATTTGTTTTTCAGTGTTACTCTTTTAATCACATCATATCGTATAGTATGTTTGAGTCTGTTTGATAGAAAGTTCATATGTCTACTATTATTCTTCTGGAACTTGTTTCTTTAGCATTTTTGTCTATATACAATGTCCATGGGTGAAATGAAATTAAAGATGGCTTTACAAACCTGAAAATTTTATAGTTTTTCCACTATTTCTATACAAACGAAGTGATAAGAGATTTTTAGCTTGCTAGTTTGGTAATGTTATTGGATCAATATAATTGTTGAGTGACAAAAATATCATTCACTGTGATATTTTTTGGGTACTGATTTGATGATTTAAATTGATTCAATAACCTACCAGACCAGGAATATATCATAACTCCCATGATGGGGATGGTAGCTTTTTGCATAACCTATTTAGAAGAATATGCAAAGATGTATTGCACTGGATTTTGTTATGGTGTTGGAGGTAACGTTGCTTTTCATATAAAGCATTAGATTGTTATGGTAAACTATTGTAAAAAGTAATCTAATAGTTCACAACTTCACATGGGAGATAACGTTTCAAACCGTATCGTAACATTACTGTTTGCACCAACATTGGCCTTGGAATTTATATTAAGTTTTCCGTTCACTTCTCTCTCGTAAACATTTCTTGTCCGATATCCAATAGTGACAAAGCAAATTATTATAGTCAATTGACTGCCTATTAAGACGTGTTATTTAATACAAGTCCGTAGACAACTGAATGTCATTAATTACTCGAGATATGAATTATTTGATGGAAGGCAAAATTAAAGAAACGCAACCATTTGATTATCGTAAAATGCTGTTGGATTTTTTAAACTTTCTCATTCAAAATTGACATGTAAAGGTGGTTTTCCGCCGAGTAATTGGTATCTTGAGTAATTAATGTCATAAAAAAAAATGGCAAAAAATATAAAAGTAGGGCCCATCTCTGTAAACCATAATGTGCTAGCAGTTTCTTAATAGAAGAAAATCCCTTACTACCTCTAACGTAAGGTGGGTTTTTTATCTAATTAATAATATCTAATTAAAACTTTTTATATTTATATTTACTAATATAACCTTATATTAATTATTTAATATTATAGACTATAATAATAAATAGAATAATATTAACTATATTAATGGTTAATACTTGTTAGAATATGAAGGACAAAAGAGAAAGAGCTGAACCTTCATGCCTAATTAATTCACGGCAGGATGTTAGAAATGAGTTGACTTGTTGACCTAGTTGACTATCGATATGCTAACTAATTCAGCTGCTCTTTAAGTGCCACTTTGTTAGTCTGTTATTCATTTGCTATTGTTGTTACAATTCTGTTAGTCTGTTATTCAGCTGCTATTGCAGTTACAATTCTGTTAGCTGGTTACTTAGTTGCATATATAAAGTCTGCAACTGTCTTATTTCTGTAATGAAGTATAATACACACTTTCTTATCCCTGATTTTCTTATGTATTTTCTTCCCTCTTTTCTCTCTGTTTACATTGTTGCTCTTAAACTTGGTGTTAGAGCCATTGACAAACGTCACGTATGGCTGATTCCTCAATCTCTTCTCCTCTTAACAAATTTGATAAGAATTCCAGCTTCAAAACTTTATCATATGCTAGTATTCTTACTAATCCTTCTTCAATGGCTTCGTCCACTCTTCCAACCATCTCACCAAAATTGACGCAAGACAACCATTGGTTTTGGAAGTCTTAAATTCTGTTCGTTGTAGGAGCTCACGATCTTGAAGAGCACCTAACAGGATTGATCTCATGTCCTGCCCCCTTCATCAAAGTACAATCGAAAGGTTCAAACTCAGAGGTAATCAAGAAACCTAACCCTGAGCATGTTATTTGGAAGAAAACCGATAAACTCTTAGTTAGTTGGCTGCTTTCATCCATTTCCGAATCAATGTTTGCTGTTATCTCTAAATGTCAATTTGCTACAGACATTTAGCTCACTTTAGAAAAGGAATTTCTCACTGAATCTAGGGCAAAGACACTGCATGTTAACAGTTTGTTGCAAAACACTAAGGAAAACATGAGCATACATGATTATTTCTTAAAAATGAAAGGCTTTGTTAAGAATTTATCAGCAAGTGGTGTTATCATAACTGATGAAGAATTGCTCAATTATATTCTGGATGGGCTTGACTCAAAATATGATGCAGCTGTAGTAAACATAACAACTAGATTAGAATCAAAACTGGATCCTATATCTGTTTAGGAGGCGCAAATTGTGCTACAAAAACTAGAACTCGGATTGGAAAGAGCAAATAATCCAATAAATTCTACTGTTCATGGTGAATTTCATGGTGGTTTGGTCAATGTTGCTACTCTATCAATTGACAGTGAAAACAAAAAACCACAACAGTCTGGTTAGTCTTCTTCATTCTCTATACAGCAGCCTTCCACACTTAATCCTTCCAACTACCAAGCCTCTAATGTTGGTCACTCTTTATTTGATTCCAATCAAAATCAAGCCATGCACTTCTTGCCTCAGAATCAATCTTACAGTCAAAACTTTACTGGAGGATATTCAAGTGGAAGAGGTAGAGGCAGAAGAGGAGGTAGAGGGAAATTTATCTGCCAAGTGTGTGGAAAAACATGTCACTTGGCCTTAAACTGCTGTCACGGGTTCGATGTGAATTACACTAGGAATGGTCCATTTTTTTGAAACAATTTTCAAGCTCCTGACACCTCTGAGTTTATTAGATCATCCAATTTTAACTCTGGAAATCATTATCCCTCTGCTGCTATTCACCAGTATACACTAGATTCACATTCAAAGACCATTAATGTCACCCCAAAGTGCACTTTCCTTTCAACACTTTCCTTTAGCACTTGGATCTACAACTGCTAACACTAATAATCAGATAGTCTCCGCTGCTGCTAACTTTCAAAATCAAATTCTGATGGCATAGTCTTAATCACCCAGTCAGATCCTTGCAGCCATAAACTACATTGCTACACCATCTACTATGCAGGATGCAGCTTGGTACATGGACTTTGGAGCCACAGACCATGTTACCTCAGACCTCTCCCAACTTTCAAGCAGAACAAACTACTTCGGGAGTGAACAACTCCGAGTAGGAAATGGTGAGCTTCTTCCCATTACTCATACTGGTTTCATTTCCTTATTTTGTCCATTTAAAATGCTGTAAATTAAAAATGTCCTATGTGTTCCTCATATCACAAAGAACTTACTTAGCATCTCAAAACTTACTAAAGATAATGATATTTCTGTTGAATTTTTTGTTGATTCTTGTGTGATTAAGGACAAGTCCTTCAAAGCAATTCTACTCAAAGTAATGCTTAAAGGTGGGTTATATCAACTCCAAGTTCCAGTCTATTCTCTCCATGCTTCTGCTGAAGCTTTGGACACTTCTGTCAACTCCAAGTCAAAAAATTACTCTACTTACTCATCTGTTGTATCGTGTGTCAAGTCCAGTAGTTCATTACTTCCTAATCAAATGTTGCCCTCTACTGTTTGCAATACATATAAAATGTTGTGCAATATTCCTGTTAATCAAGTTTTGAGTTCAAATAATAGACCTTCTGTATCAAATGTTGTATCCCATATTGATGATGCACCTGTTTTCAATTCAATAAATGATATTCAGTCTTTTCCTGTGCAAAAAACCAATGTTATGTTATGGCACAAAAGGTTAGGTCATCCTAACATTACCATACTTAGGAAGGTTCTTACTTATTTAAAAATTTTTCTACAAGTTGAAAATGATATTACATTCTGCTCTGCCTGCCAATTTGGCAAGTTACACCAGTCCACATTTCCTCAATCTGCACTTCATGCCTCTAAACCCCTAGAGTTAGTATATTCTAATCTATGAGGACCATCTCCCATACCATCCCTCGAAGGTGACAAATACTATGTTCAATTTCTTGATGATTATAGTAAATTTGCTTGGATATTCCCATTAAAAGCCAAATATGAAACATTTGTAGTTTTCAAACAATTTCACACCTTAGTTGAAAAACAATTCAATGCCACTTTAAAGTGTGTTCAAACCGATTGGGGAGGTGAGTATAGGAAACCAGTCCCTTACCTTCAAGACCATGCCATCATGTTTAGACATCATGCCCTCACCAACAAAATGGTAGAGTTGAGCGAAAGCATAGACAAATTGTTGAGCAAGGGCTCACTCTACTTGCACAAGCTAACATGTCACTTAAATTTTGGTGGTTTGCCTTTCAAACTGCAGTCTACCTCACCAACAAACTCCCCACACCTGTCTTATCAAATATCTCACCATTCCAAATGTTGTTCAAAACAGTTCCAAATTTTGCAGCTGTCAAAGTTTTTGAATGTGTAGTTTATCCTTAGGCCATATAGCAGTCACAAATTTAATTTTCACACAACCACATACACCTTTGTTGGATATAGTCTTCATCATAAGGGATACAAATGTTTAGATACTTCAGGTCGAATTTATATCTGTCAAAGTGTGAAGTTTGATGAAATTGACTTTCCTTTTCACTCACTCACTAGCATTGTTTCAAAATCCTCGCCTGAGATAGTATAACCTCAGTCCTCTCCTCATTCTTTCCCTTCAATATGGAATGTCCCTATTTCTACTTGCGGTCCAATTCATAATCAAGAGTTTGCTTCTGCACCTCCTACTAGTTCTAATTCAAAATATTGTTCAGTTGTTCCCAATAGTCCTGCTTTAAAGTCTGGTACTGATCCCTTTTTACCGAAGACTAAATCTGCAGTTCCTAATTGTCCTATCACACTGGATTAGTCAAAGTCTCAGAATTTATCATCCTCTAGTCCACTTACAAATTCCCAAACGCACTTACTATCTCATTCATCTTCAAAGATATCCACCACACCAGTGCTATCCTCTTAGTCCATTCCACCTCAATCCCCTATAACCATACCCTCGAATGAATCCTATGACACCATTCCTCTCATAGTTGAGTTACCTTTAACTAAACCTGCAACCCTTGACTCAAGCACACTTAATACCCCATCACTGTCCTCTCAACTCACCTTACCTCAGCCACCTGTCTCCATACCATCTAATGAGTCTTATGACTCTCTTCCACTCACGGTTGACTTGCCTTTACCCAAACATGTACCCTCTGTATCCAACACACATCCTATGCAAACCAACTTGCAACCCTTGACTCAAGCACACTTAATACCCCATCACTGTCCTCTCAACTCACCTTACCTCAACCACCTATCTCCATACCATCTAATGAGTCTTATGACTCTCTTCCACTCACGGTTGATTAGCTTTTACCCAAACATGTACCCTTTGTATCCAACGCACATCCTATGCAAACCAGATCCAAGACAAAAGCTCATAACACCATTTTACTAGGCTCTTCATCCCTTGACAATAAAGAACCAGACACTGTCACAGAAGCACTTTCTCACCCTACTTGGAAGGCTGCCATACAGTCAGAGTTTGATGCACTTATGGCCAATCATACCTGGGAATTAACTCTGGCTGCATCAAATATGCACTCAATTGGCTGGAAATGGGTATTTAGAAACAAATACAATCCTGATGGGTCCATTCAAATGTTCAAGGCCAGGTTAGTTGCTAAGGGCTTTCAACAAACTCCTGGTATTGACTACTTAGAAACTTTCAACCCTGTGGTAAAGTCCCCTACTGTTCGAGTGATGTTGAGTTTAGCAACGAACAAAGGCTGGGACATCCAGCAAGTTGACATCAATAATGCCTTCTTAAATGGAGATCTCATGGAAAAAGTCTTTATGACTCAACCTGAAGGATTTGTGAACTCTCAATTTCCTCATCATGTTTGCAGATTAACAAAGGCTCTCTATGGCTTAAAACAGGCCCCAAGAGCCTGGTTTGACAAACTTAAGACAGCTTTCTTGTAGTGGGGTTTCATACATTCAGTGGCGGACTCAAGTCTCTTCATTTATCAACATCAAGGTCAAGTCATGTATGTGCTTATATACGTTGATGACATACTCCTTACTAGAAGTGATCCTAAGTTGGTTCAAGAAATAGTTCACAAGTTGAATACATAGTTTGCCTTAAAGATTTTGGGTTCTCTCAAGTACTTCCTCGGTTTTGAAATAACTAGGACTGAATCATGAATTTATATAAACCAGGAAAAGTATGTCAACGATCTCCTTGTCAAAACTAATATGCAAGATTGCAAGCCTTGTACAAAACCAATGGCTATTGGAACAAAACCAACTCTTGCTGATAGTAATCTTTATGAAAATGTTGCACTTTACAGGAGCACAATAGGAGCTTTGCAATACTTAATCTTGTCAAGACCAAACATTGCTTTTAGTGTAAACAAATTAAGTCAATTCCTCAAAGCTCCCACACAGCAACACTGGCAGGCTCGTAAACGACTACTTCGGTATCTCAAAGGAACTCCAAACTTTGGCTTGCACTTCACTAAAAGTAATAGACTTAATCTAGAATGCTACACCGATGTCGATTGGGCTGGTAGCCTTGAGAATAGAATATCAACCAACGGTTGCTGTGTCTTCCTAGGTTCTAACCTGATTCAATGGACTTTTAGGAAACAAAAAGTTGTTGCATTATCTTCCACTGAAGCTGAGTATAGAGCTCTTGCTCAAGGGGCTATAGAGTTGGCATGGTTCTGCAGTTTATTCTCTGAAATTGGTGTCACTTTATCTGAAATTCCAGTCATTTGGTGTGACAACCAAAGTGCTGGCTCACTTGCATCCAATCTTGTTTTTCATGGGAGAACAAAGCATATTGAGCTTGATACTCATTATGTAAGAGAACAAGTTACTTCCAACAATCTTAAAGTTCAATATGTGCCAACCGAGTATCAAAAAGTTGATATCTTTACTAAGGCTTTATCAGTCTCCAAATTTGTTGAACTAAGAGATAAACTCACTGTAAAAGCCTCAGCCTCTACTCCTGTTCAATAACTTGATTGTCCTCACTATAAAAGCCTCAGCCTCTGCTCATGTTCAGTAACTTGATTGTCTGAGACTTGATTGTTTGAGCTGCTCTCTTGCGAAGGTTGATATCATCATGGAGAGCAACTTGATATTTAAGCTGCTCTTGCAAATTTTGATATCATCATAATGAGGCTTAATTCACAACAGGATGTTAGAATATGAAGGACAAAAGAGAAAAAGTTGAACCTGCATGCCCAAAAGAATATGAAGAGGCTTAATTCATGGCAGGATGTTAGAAATGAGTTGACTTGTTGACCTAGTTGACTATCAATATGCTAACTAATTCAGCTGCTCTCTAACTGCCACTGTGTTAGTCTGTTATTCAGTGGCTATTGCTGTTACAATTCTATTAGTCTGTTATTCAGCTGCTATTGCTGTTACAATTCTGTTAGTTTGTTACTTAGTTGCATATATAAAGACTACAACTGTCTTATTTCTATAATGAAGTATAATACACACTTTCTTATCCCTGATTTTCTTCTATATTTTCTTCCCTCTTTTCTCTCTGTTTACTGCGATCATTGTTGCTCTTAAACTATACTTAATAGTATTTCTCAAAGAGAGAATTTTAGTTAACCGGCCACTAACCTTCAACAACTAATAACCGAAAAATTCATCAGTACATAAAAGCAGTAAAATCAATATTAAAATGATCATCTTTGAACGATCTATCTGTAAAAATATAGGATCGTTTTTTAATAAGAAAACTCATATATTTCATTAAGAAAATGGAGGAATATATACAATTTCTACATCCTGTGAGGATCTCATTTACANCTTATAACACCATTTTACTAGGCTCTTCATCCCTTGACAATAAAGAACCAGACACTGTCACAGAAGCACTTTCTCACCCTACTTGGAAGGCTACCATACAGTCAGAGTTTGATGCACTTATGGCCAATCACGCCTGGGAATTAACTCCTGCTACACCAGATATGCACTCAGTTGGCTGCAAATGTGTATTTAGAAACACATACAATCCTGATGGTTCTATTCAAATGTTCAAGGCCAAGTCAGTTGCTAAGGGTTTTCAACAAACTCCTAGTATTGACTACCTAGAAACTTTCAACCCTGTGGTAAAGTCCCCTACTGTTCGAGTGATGTTCAGTTTAGCAATGAACAAAGGTTGGGACATCCAGCAAGTTGACATCAATAATGCCTTCTTAAATAGAGATCTCATGGAAAAAGTCTTTATGACTCAACCTAAAGGATTTGTGAACTCTCAATTTCCTCATCATGTTTGCAGATTAACAAAGGCTCTCTATGGCTTAAAACAAGCCCCAAGAGCCTGGTTTGACAAACTTAAGACAACTTTCTTGCAGTGGGGTTTCATACATTCAGTGGCGGACTCAAGTCTCTTCATTTATCAACATCAAGGTCAAGTCATGTATGTGCTTGTATACGTTGATGACATACTCCTTACTGGAAGTGATCCTAAGTTGGTTCAAGAAACAGTTCACAAGTTGAATACACAGTTTGCCTTAAAGATTTTGGGTTCTCTCAAGTACTTCCTCGGTTTTGAAGTAACTAGGACTGAATCATGAATTTATATGAACTAGGAAAAGTATGTCAATGATCTCCTTGTCAAAACTAATATGCAAGATTGCAAGCCTTGTACAACACCAATGGCTGTTGGAACAAAACTAACTCTTGCTGATAGTAATCCCTATGAAAATGTTGCACTTTACAAGAGCACAATAGGAGCTTTGCAATACTTAATCTTGTCAAGACTAGACATTGCTTTCAGTGTAAACAAATTAAGTCAATTCCTCAAAGCTCTCATACAGCAACACTGGCAGGCTTGTAAACGACTACTTCGGTATCTCAAAGGAACTCTAAACTTTGGCTTGCACTTCACTAAAAGTAATAGACTTAATCTAGAATGCTACACCGATGTCGATTGGGTTGGTAGCCTTGAAGATAGAAGATCAACCAACAGTTGTTGTGTCTTCCTAGGTTCTAACCTGATTCAATGGACTTTTAGGAAGCAAAAAGTTGTTGCATTATCTTTCACTGAAGTTGATAGAGAGCTCTTGCTCAAGCGGCTACAGAGTTGGCATGGTTCTGCAGTTTATTCTCTGAAATTGGTGTCACTTTATCTGAAATTCCAGTCATTTGGTGTGACAACCAAAGTGCTGGCTCACTTGCATCCAATCTTGTTTTTCATGGGAGAATAAAACATATTGAGCTTGATACTCATTATGTAAGAGAACAAGTTACTTCCAACAATCTTAAAGTTCAATATGTGCCAACCGAGTATCAAAAAGCTGATATCTTTACTAAGGCTTTATCAGTCTCCAAATTTGTTGAACTAAGAGATAAACTCACTGTAAAAGCCTCAGCCTCTACTCCTGTTCAATAACTTGATTGTCCTCAGTATAAAAGCCTCAGCCTCTGCTCTTGTTCAGTAGCTTGATTATCTGAGACTTGATTGTTTGAGCTGCTCTCTTGCTAAGGTTAATATCATCATGGAGAGCAACTTGATTGTTTAAGCTACTCTTGCAAATTTTGATATCATCATAATGAGGCTTAATTCACAGCAAGATGTTAGAATATGAAGGACAAAAGAGAAAAAGTTGAACCTGCATGCCCAAAAGAATATGAAGAGGCGTAATTCACAGCAGGATGTTAGAAATGAGTTCACTTGTTGACGTAGTTGACTATCGATATGCTAACTAATTCAGTTGCTCTCTAACTGCCATTTTGTTAGTCTGTTATTCAGTTGCTATTGTTGATACAATTCTATTAGTCTGTTATTCAGCTGCTATTGCTATTACAATTCTGTTAGTTTGTTACTTAGTTGCATATATAAAGACTGCAACTGTCTTATTTCTATAATGAAGTATAACACACACTTTCTTATCCCTGATTTTCTTCCCTCTTTTCTCTCTGTTTACTGCGATCATTGTTGCTCTTAAACTATACTTAATAGTATTTCTCAAAGAGAGAATTTTAGTTAACCGGCCACTAACCTTCAACAACTAATAACCGAAAAATTCATCAGTACATAAAAGCAGTAAAATCAATATTAAAATGATCATCTTTGAACGATCTATCTGTAAAAATATAGGATCGTTTTTTAATAAGAAAACTCATATATTTCATTAAGAAAATGGAGGAATATATACAATTTCTACATCCTGTGAGGATCTCATTTACATTAAAAAATTCCAAGAAAAATGTTTAGCTGATAAAGAGTTTCCTTACAAAAGTTTTCCAAACATGAAATTTCTAGATTTTGCTATTTGGAATCATGACTAGTGCGATAATTAGGAATGCTATCCAATTTGGGATACCCACAAATTTTGTAATAGCCTCCCTTAGGCCTGTGCGAGTTCAGACTCCACCATGATTGCCGTTGATATTATGGGTATCTACCTTGTGCCTCCCTCAAGGTGGTGAAGAGTGAATTCCGATACGAGACAAAAACAAGTTAAATGTTGCTACACTAAGTCCCTTTGTCAGCAAGTCTACGAGCTGATTGTGGGAGGGAACGAAACTAAGAGCCAAAAGCTTTCGTTGTACATGATCTTTAATAAAATGATGATCCAACTCGATGTGCTTGTTTCGTTCATGGAATACCGGATTCAATGCAATGTGTATGGTTGATTTTTTGTCATGGAATAGGGGAATAGGTTCTGTGATAGAAAATGACAAGTCTTTCAAGACATTTCGCAACCACACCAGTTCCGTAGTTGTCAATGCCATTGATCGATATTCAACTTCGGCGAATGAACGAGATATTGTTTGTTGCTTCTTCGATTTCCAACTGATAAGAGTGTCTCTTAGAAAGATAAGCATTCCTGAAACTGAGTGTCCACTAGTTGAGCAATTAGCCGAATCTGGGTCACAATATGCCTTCAAATCAAGTGATTTCATATTGGAAAAGAAAAGACCTTGTTCAATAGATTTCTTGATATATAGCGCCATTCTTTTTGCCATAGCAAGATGAGGAGATCTCAATGTCTGCATGAATTGACTTCAAACTTGTTCAGCATATGAGATCACTGATCGAGTTACTGTCAAATAGATGAGTCTCCCCACAAGTCTTTGATATGTAGTCACATCTTCAAGCAAGTTCCCAATCTTACTTGATAAATTGTATTGTTGTGGAATAGGTGTTTGTGCCACCTTTGCATCTTCTAGACCAACTTCTCTTATGATATCTCCTACATATTTTTGTTGATTTACATAAATTCCATCTTGTCTCCTTTTAACCTCTAACCCCAAGAAATAGTGTAAGGGTCCTAGTCCTTTATTTTGGAGCAAGTCTGGAAATATTTCTTAAATAGGATACATTTATCTCCATTGTTCCCAGCGAGTATAAGGTCATCCACATAGATTAATATTGCCAAGAAATTATCTCCATCTGAAAGAGTGAACAACGAGTGATCCCATGAACTTTGCTTAAACCCATAGTTGAGAAGAGAAGTTGAGAGTTTCTTGAACCATTGTCGTGGAGCTTGTTTGAGCCCGTACGAGGATTTATGCATCTTGCAAACCAATGAATCATTAGATACTTTCATACCTTGAGGAGGTTTCATGAACACTTCCTCATCAAGTTCTCCGTGTAAAAATGTGTTGTCAACATCCATTTGATGTAGTTCCCATCCTTTAATTGTTGAAATAGCTAACAAGCATCGAACTATGGTGAACTTAGCAACAAGCGCAAAACTTTCATTATAGTCTAGTCCCTCAACTTGAAAATAACCTTTCGCAACTAAACGGGCTTTGTACCTCTCAATCGTTCCATCTGCATTTCATTTAATCTTGAATACTCATTTGCTCCCAATCGCTCTTTTCCCTTTCGATAAGGAAACTAGACTCCAGGTGTTGTTTGAGTGGAGTGCTTTCTACTCTTGATTCATAGCTTCTTCCCATACTGGTTTTCCAATAGCATCTTCATATGTATCATGTTCAACATCATGTCCTGCATTATTAGTAGAAGATGCCATGAGATTATTAGAAAGAAATGAGTATTGAGAAACCTTACCATCCAATCGATTGATTGAAGAAGTAGATTTGGTAGGGGGTTCTATGGTCTTTTTGCATGCCATTACATAATCTTCAAATCTTTGTGGCATTCTTTTTTCCCTTTGTGGTCTTGAATTCTCAACTACCATTTCTCTCTCAGTTGCCTCATTTTCTATTTTCAGGTCAAATTCTCCTATGTCTTCTTCTTCCAATTCTCTGTTTTCTTCTAACCTGGTAGTGTCTTCTCTATCTCCAAGTTGGTTTTGGGCGTGTGTTGACTCCTTAGATTCAATCACATTTGGCATTGGCTGTACTTGTACACTTTCTAAAGGTTGTATATCTTTACAAGGAAAAGAATCCTCATAAAATATGACATCCCAAGATTCAAATAACTTTCTAGTATTGAGTTCCATTACCTTGTAGCCCTGCTTTCCAGAGATATAGCCTAGAATCACACATTTTCTTTATCTTGCAGTAAACTTATCATTTGGCTTAGGTTTAACATAGACATAGCACAAACATCCAAACACTCTAAGATAATCATATGAGGGTTTTTCTTTAAATAAGATCTCATATGGAGATTTTCCATTGAGTATTGGTGTTGGATGGAGATTTATCAAACGCGCTGTTGTCAATACACATTCTCCCCAATATCCCAAGGGTAGATTAGCCTGAAATTGGAGTGCTCTTGCAACCTCTATAAGTACCTGTGCTTTCTTTCCACCACCCCATTTTGTTGGGGTGTGTATGGAAAACTAGCTTGGTGTATAATTCCTTTGTCTAAGACTAGTTTCTTGAAATTTCCATACACAATCTCTTGGGCATTATCTGACTAAACAGATTTCACTTATACATCAAACTGAGTTTGCACCATTTTAAAAAATTGTTCAAAAAGAAATGGGGCTTCACTTTTATTTTTCATCAAATGAACCCAAGTACCTCTTGAGCAATCATCAACGATAGTAAGAAAATAGTGAGCTCTAGAGTCTACTAGTAGCATAAGGTCCCTAAGTATCAATATGGACTAATTCAAATAATTTTCTTGATTTATTTCTACTACTAGGATATGACAATTGAGTTTGTTTTGCTCTGTGACATGCATCATATGGGAAGAGACTTTTATTATTTTCAAATGAAACATCAAATAAACTCTTTAATCTAGAAAATGGGATATGTCCCAACCTCCTGTGTAACAATCCTGGTTGATTCTTTGATCTCACAGCATTTGCCAATGTTTGATTTTTCTCTTCAAAAAGGTAGAGCCCCCCTTCCAATCTACCCTCTCCAATCACCCTCTTGGTAACAAGGTCCTGCACAACACATCCATTTGCAAAGAATGTTATTGAACAATTTAAATCTCAAGTATTTCTACTAATTGAAATTAGATTGCAGTTGAAAGTTGGTAAGAGAAGAACATCTTTTAGAACTATATTATGATTTAGTTGAATATTTCCAACACAATCAACTTGTGACTTTCTTCCATCTGGTAGAGTAACCTGTAGAGTTGAACTCTTGGATTTTTTTCATTTTAATAGTTTTGAATCTGATACAATGTGGTCAGATGCTCTATTGTCCAAAATCCAATTCTGAGAACAAGAAATTTTACCAAATAAGTTTACGTTAGGTGTCCCTTGTTTGTCTCCGCTAAGTACAGCCATCAGTTGATCAAACTGGGTTTGTGATAACCCGAATGGGTTTAAAACAATCTGTTGTTGGTGTGATTGTTGCTGGGAATATGCCTCCTTCATCTTAGTTTTAGATACTACTGCATTAATGGTTGTCTTTGCTGAAAAACTCTTTTTCTTCCCTTGCCAATTTGGAGGATATCCGACAATCTCGAAACAATTCTCCCTTGTGTGGCCTGTCTTTTCAATGTTCACACTTTGGTCTCTTGTTTGGATCTCGATTCCTTTCCCCATCATGTATTTTGAATGCTGTTGCCTCCATAATTGGCCTTGCCATCGTCACCTCCTCTGAACTCAATAAAGAATAAATTTTTGTTAAGGATCGTAGTGGATCTTTACAGAGAATGCTCGATCTTAAAACACCATAGGAATCATTCAATCCCATTAGAAACTAGTGTAGTTTCTCTTCTTCTTTTTCCTTGGCCTAGATACCACATGTACAACTTGCACATCCTTGTCCACAGGACTTGGAGAAACTATCAAGTTGATCCTAAAGCCCCTTCATTTTTGTATAATAAGTAGAGATCGTCAACTCACCTTGTCTGGTGTTAACGATTTCTCTTTTCAACTCTTGAATACGAGGTCCACTTCACTGTGAAAACCTCATTTCTAGATCTTTCCAAATGTCATTAGCAATGTCATGGTATGCAACACTGTTATGTAACTCTCCATTGAGTGAGTTTAACAGCCACGCGGTGACCAT